GTTGGATATTTCTTCATACTCGGTCTCAAACGTACGAGTGAGTGTAAGCGCCCTCATCCTGCTCTTCCAGTAGTGATGCAGCTCGTAAGCCGTGTAGAGATAGATTTGATCTTCTCTGGTTAGTTCGCTTGGATCTTGCTCGCGTTTACTGTCATGGGCATTGGGTCCGGTCCAGTCCTTGGAGTAAGGAGCCATGAGTTTGGCAGTGTTGTCAGGAATATCGCACAAGTCGTTCTTCTGCAAGAAATCCATGGTGACGGGGTCGTCCAAAATCTTGCTGTCGCAGTGGATAATCATGCGTACAATTTCCTCAACACCATAAGACGAGAACTTGGCCATGCTGATCTGGAAGTTCTGCATGAGGTCGCGGGAAATGATCTGCTTCTTCTCGTCCTTCTTGCCACCCTTCTTGCCAATCGCCTTGATCTCCTTGGCCAAGAACAACTTCTCGACCTCCTCCAAGACACCCTTTCTCGCAAGCTCTTGGTACTTCTCTTCCTTCTCTTCTGAAGTAAGACCACGCGTGGCCCACACCGTCGTGGTGGGTTGGTCGACCTTGTCCCAATGAAGAGCCTTGAGCTTCTTCTTAGGCCGGGGTCCGGAAAGGGCAAATTGTTGGGCGGCACCAAAGCCAGGCGCTTTGGGAAGGAAACCAGGCATTTTGGAACCTGGCATTGGTGGAGGTGGCGGCGGTGGCGGCATGCTGCCACCGGGCATAGGGGGTGGTGGAGGAATACCCGTTTTGAAACCAAGTTTGCCTGGAGGTGGCGGCGGCGGTGGTGGTGGTGGAGGAGGAGGAGGCGGAGGAGCTCCCGTAGTGCCAGGCATAGGGGGTGGTACGGGTATGTTGGTAGGAAATCCAAGAGCACCAGGTGGCGGTGGTGGAGGTGGAGGCGGTGCTCCAGCAGTTTTCCCATCAGCTGGTGTCTTTGGTGAGTCGGAGTCAAGGCTTGGGTGAGATGGTCCGGTAGTAACACCATCGCCATTGTCTTCCCCATCGGAGTCGTCGTATCGTTTGACGTTGGAGGTGATGTCTGCCATAAGAGCATTGGCCGTGGATGCGCTGAGCTTGGGCTTGTGCATTTGGATGAGACGGGGCTTCTCGATAACAACATCCTCATCATCATCCATCTCAGAGAACTCAGCATCCTCACCATTCTGACCGGGGATACCAGGGAGGGGTTTCCTGCGTGGTACTCCACTCTTAGCACGTACCGACCCGAATGAGGTCGGTCCAAGACCTCCATAGCCTTGTTCGGGTATGACTGGCACGTCGCCCTCCATCTTTTCTCGCAACTCCCTAAGCTTCTCACTCGGCTGCAGGTTCAAGGTCCTGCCTTCCAGAGTGGCTTGGGTCCTGGCTCTCTGCAGTTGGATCTCCAATCTGTTCATGAGGCGTTCACGATCCATGATACCCTGCATTTGAGCAGGGTCCGTAGCACCGAGTCCATCTTTGCCAGACTTCTTCGCTGCTGATGCTGCAACGTCCTGGGCGTCTCTAAGCATCAGGTACAGTTCACGCGTCTCCAGTTCGTTTCGTTGCAGCTCTTGTGCTCGTATCCTCTGCATCTCGGCAAGTTCCGCCTTCATCGACTCGACCTGTCTGCCACGGAGCTCAATGATGCGTTCTTGCTCTGACAGTTGTTTCTGGAGCTTCGACACCAAGCCATCAGCTCCCAGTTCGAGCTGCGCTTTCATCTCATCACGCTCCGCAATGGCCGAGTCTGCAATCTGGCGTGCTTCGACAGCCTCATCGCGTACTTGGCGGGCTTCAGAGTCGGTATACAGCTTGTCAAGCAAAGACTGAACAGTAAAGTTCAGACTTTGCTTCAGATCCATGTCTGGCAGTCTGCGGTCCATAGCCACATAACTGAGCATTTGATCTACCAATTGGAACATGCGTAACCGGTCCTCACTTTCCGTATCCCGCATCAGCAACAGATGCTGCATGGCCGAAGTGAAGTAGTCCTGTGCCCTGGTTCCACTAATCTTGCTCATGATGGCGTCCGTGATTTGCAGGGGGTCATTAAGGTCCTTAGTTTCGCCCTCGACATTGTCCATTATGGAGCTGTTTTCCTTTTGGAGGAAGTCTTCATAGTCGACGGCTTCATTTTCGAGGTAGTGCTCGATTTGTTTGTCAATGACGTCGTACTGGAAGCCCTCCATCTTGTTGAAGATGCGCTTGATGCCACATGCTGTGAACTGAGCTCGCACGTGCATCCTAAGCTGGAGATCACGCTCCGGTGCATCGACAATCATGTTGATGAGGAAGAGGGTTGCAATGGCGTATTCCATGAGAAGGTTCTCTACACCGATTCCTCCACTACGGACTTCGTCTGATGCGCCGACCATGGATCCCATCTTGCCACGGCCATCGACCGTGACCTCGACGATACGCATCCATGCGTCGAAGCGGCTGTTTTCACCATATTGTGATTTGAGGTTGTCGAGTGCTTGTAGCACTTTTTCGTGTCCGCTTCCATTGCCCCAGTGACACAAGAAAGTCAAGACATCCGAGACGAGTTTTCGTGTATTCAGTCGTGATGATATTAAAGAACCACATAGCGCCTGTATAATTGACGGGTGGTTCAAGGCGTTGTCGGCGCCGTATTTGTTGTTCATCAGCGCCTTCAGGCACTTGATGATTTCGTATTCGCGTTCCACATCATTTTCTGCTTTTTGTGCAATGACGCTGGGCGGGGGTTGAGGCCCTGTGCCTTTTCTGCGGTTGATCTTGGCCAGGACATTCGTGAGGGCGATTTGACCTTGGGCTTCGATGAAGCCCCTGACCCAGGCAATCGGCTGGGTTCTCAAGCTAATCTCCAAACTTGACATTTGCTTGATCGTGATCGAGTTGTCCATGACCTTTTTGACATACCATTCTGGGGATCCTTCTTCTTCTGCTCGTATCAAAATGTCTTGGTTCCCAACCATGCCTCCTCCGCCGCCACCGCCGCCTCCGTATGTTATCCGTTGCGTCTGGCGCTTTTTCTCTTCATGCTTGAATTCGGCAAGCTTGTCCTGATACACAAGTGTCCATTTTTTGTCAATCTTATATGCCTCCATCTGCCGCCGCGCCTGTTCTGGTAAACTCTTCCATCCTCGCTTGACCATGAGGTTCATAAACTCCTTCTCGACGATGTGGTCGGGGGGCCGTTGTATGCTGAGAGTATTTTGGGGAAAGGAGGCCGTCGAGGCCGTCGGGGACGAGACATTGTAGTGCAGCAAGTGACGGTGCGAGTCGCGGGGGGTTGATGCGGCGGTGGGCAGGAGGCTGCCAGGGTCGAGGCCTACGGACGAAAATGTCGACTGCGACGAGTTTGGGGGGTGGAAGGTGTTGCTAGCACGCGACCTGGAGTCGTTGCTGTAGACGCTGGCCTGGTCGGACGAGGTGCGCGAGAAGCTGGCGTCGTTTGGGGGGTACTGGGGATAGGAGCCGTCTCTGCTGCTGCCGCGAGCGCCCCATTGCTGCATCGAGACACCACGGTCGCCCGGGTTGCTCGAAGCAATGGTGGTGTGCGACGAGTGCGGCGGGGGCCTAGGCGGGCCCTGGTTTGCGTAGCCGTTGGGAGGCATGTTGTTGCCAGTGAAGACGGGGTACTGGTGAAAGTCGCCGCCGCCCTTGTTCAGGTGGTGTGGCAGCGGTTCGCCCGACTTGTAGTTGTCGTCTCGGGGCGAGTCAATGGATGACACGGGGCCTGCTCGCGCAAAGATGCCCTCAGCGGTCATGGACACGGGCCTCTGGTCTATGGACGCGCCACCGATGGAATGTCTTTGCGAATGGCGGGACGACTGGGAGCCGTATGAACTGCCCGGGGGGCTGTCGATCGAAGACGAGGCAGTATGCTTTGAATCGCTGCCGCCCTTCTCCTTGTCCTTGTGCAGACGTCGTCCGAAGAACTTGCCGGCGGAAGATTGCCGACCCTTGCCATCCATCCCTATAGCGAGATTCTGTGCCCAATGCAGCCGACCTGGAGCGCGCCGCCCGACGAGTGCTCCGTTCCCCTCGGTGCAGGTGCACTACCGCCACTCGCGAACTCTGGCGGCGCGGGGCAAGCGATGGCAGGCCGTGACTGCGGTTCAGTGTACGAGTCCAGCGAGGGTGCGGGGCTTTTGCTTTTGGGGCGTTGAAGTAATAGGGAATCCCTTTGAGGGGAGGGGGGGAGGGGGGCTCTGTGGTGGGCAATGCGGCTGCAGGTCAGTCGCGGGAAGTTGCCGAGTACTAGCGCCTCCTCCTGAAGAGAGAAGCGCGCCACAACGCCCAACTGGGCCGGGGTGGGTAGACGAATGGGATGGGTGGATGAGGTAGTATTGCGACTACGGGACGAACGTGTGGATGAATGGATGGATGGGAGTCCCAGGACAGGCGCTTGCTTGGTCTGGGATGCTACATGTATGTGTGTATGTAGAGTATACAGCCAAGTAAGTATACTGACGTACTACTAGAACAAGATTCACACGCTCCACCCACGGCCAAAACACACTCGTCGTTACAGCGCACAGAGGGCCGCTCCGCAACTGTCTCGTCCGTGTATGTGCGTGAGTGCCATGGCCTGAGGCCCGCCCGCCCTTGGCCCCGACGTTCTCCTGAGACGTGCGCAATGTCCGTGTGGGCGTGGCGCCATAGCCCGCAGTTTGCAGGCAGCGTAAAGTAGGGAGCCCCCTAGGCCCCTACGCATACACATGGCCGCTCGCTCCAAGCCATTCCCGGCCAACCCCATCCGCAAACCTTCATTCTCCCATCCTGCCACCCCCCAAAAAGCCCAGAACGCGTTTGTCCGTTTGCGCGGGACCAACAGTGAGCTGTGGCGCAGCAGGCACCCACCGCACCGCCTGCATAACCGCCTGTCGCTTGTCACACCTCTCTGACGTCTCTGGCCCCGAGTGTCTCAGCGATCCAGATCCAGATCCGTGGTCGGCCTAGACAGTCGCAGTCCCGCGTCACCCGCGACTTCGCTCACTAGACATCTCTCTCTCTCTCCACACATGCATCCGCAGTCATGGCGGGCTCCACGCATTTCTTAAAGGTAAGTTGGACTGTCTACGACACATGCAAACACCCGTACATAAATATATATTAGACGTGACATGGCTGACAAAACCACCGACCCAAAGACCATTCTCGTACCGCTCTTCCTTGCCGCCATCCTCTATGTCCTGCTCGCCCTTATCATCCTGCCCTTTGTGCGCCGCCACCGCAGCCGCTACAGCCAGTACCTGCCTGTGACCCCAGGCGTCACCGACTTCCCAACCTCTTGGCGCACAAAACTCTCCGACGCGCTATACGGCCTGTTTGCTCCTTCGGCCTGGGTGAGACAGCGCGGCATCGTCCACGGAAATAGCCAAAACGACGACGAGCTTTTTGACGACGAAGAGGGCGAGGGCATGGTCGGCTTTGATCCCATTGACGAGAGGAGGAGAGAGGCCCTCGAGCAGCGCAGAAGCATGATGGACGACGAGATTCGTCTTGGCAGGGACCTCGAGGAAGGCTTCAAGGACGACAGCGAGGATGAGAGCGATGACGACACCCGCCCTTCTCGCTCACGGCACCCATGACACCACTCACTGCTTCCACTGCCAATCTCACAAAAGACCCCTTCTCCGCCTTGCATTTACCTATAATCTGATTCCTTTCCTTGGCCTCATACCAGTTCCTACAAAACATAAACACCAGCCCATGCCATGTTCAAGGCTAGAGAAAGAAAGAAAAAAGCCAAGCTTGCACAAACCGTGCATACACTGTTTAGACATCATTCATGGGGAAACATGCATAGACTTTCAGTGAATATATTCATATACATGGGTGGGCGGGTGATTGCATCCAGCGCCCTGTTAACTAAAAGGAAATTCGTCCCAAATCGCTCAAAATGGTCGCTAGCCTGCCAAACATGCCAATGTGGCCCGTTTACTTGCGCTGACCGTACGCCTTGGTCGCATAGTCGCCCTTGTGTACGATAAGGTCCTCGGGCCGGTAGTTGTGGCGGCCGGAGAAGTACTCGTCCAGGATGGCCTTGGTGCCGTCGGCGTAGCGCTACAGTCATCATCAGCATCATCCTTGCCGCAACTCTCTTTGGGTTCAATCTTACCTTTTGTGCGTCAATGGAGGTACCGGACATGTGGGGAACCATGGCGTTGCCGCCGCCCCATGGGTTGGTGGCATAGCGGAGTGGGTGGTCCTTGGGAGCGGGCTGAGGGAACCAGACATCACCACCGTATCCACGGAGGTGGCCGTCCTTGAGAGCCTGTGCGACATCCTCCTTGACAACAATGGCACCACGGGCAGTGTTGACCAGCCATGAGCCCTTCTTCATCTTGGAAATGAGCTCCTTGTTGAACAGACCCCGTGTCTTCTCGTGCAGTGGGCAGTTGATGGTGACAACGTCGCACTGGGCAAGCATCTCCTCGAGGTTCTCGACACGGCGGCAGCCAATCTCCTTCTCCTTCTCGGCAGACAGAGGCTGGTAGTCAAAGTACAGCAGCTCCTTGCAGTCAAAGGGCTTGAGACGGCGGAGCACACGCTCTCCGATACGTCCGACAGCAACGGTTCCTACAACCTTGCCCTCGAGGTCGTACTCGTTCTTAGCGACCTCAGCAACGTTCCATTCGCCCTTGGCAATCTGCTCGTGGGCGGGGACAAAGTTGCGGACGAGAGTGAGGATGGTCATGACGACGTGCTCAGCGACAGAGACGACGTTGGAGCCAGTGACCTCGGCAACGGTGATACCGCCATTTGTCTTGTTCGCAGCGTTGAGGTCGACGTGGTCAGATCCGATACCAGCAGTAACGGCAAGCTTCAGGTTCTTGGCCTTGGCGAGACGCTCTGCGGTAAGGTAACCGGGGTGGAAACTGTTGATCCCCGAGCAATTAGCCGAAACGTTCCCTCACATCATGGTGTTTGCATTACTAGTGCATGCCGACCCGACAGCGAGCTTGACGCGTGCTGGTGGGGCCGCCCTAGTGGGCACTGCGGGGTAGCTCTGACGTACGGAGTGGTGATGATAACCTCAGCATCAACAAGGTGCTTGTCGAACTCGGAGTCCTCGCCCTCCTTGTTGGATGTGGTTACCAGCTCGTGGCCTTGCTCCTCAATCCATTTCCTGATACCGAGCTCGTTCTCAGTGGTACCGAGAAGCTGGGGCTCCTGCTCGGCGTGGATGCCACCCTACCGTCACTGTTAGACTAGCGCACCAAAAGGGGTTCCAATTGGCAAAAAACTTACATCGTAGAGGACGAGAAGAACTTTTCCCTGTTGTGACGCAGTCGTGGTCAGCGTTCTGAAGGCATTGAGTTGTCGCAGCGACGAAGTCAATCGGGGTCCGGCGCGAGCGCTGAGGAGGGATGAGGCAGGGCGCACAAGGCGCGAGGCAGCACGGGCAAATACCATTTTGAGTTGTTTGGGCGTGTGAGATGCAAAGACTCGAGGTTCCCAGGTGAAGATATATAGTAAAATCCCAGGCCGGACAGGTCAAGGTACGTGTTCCTGACGCAACATCAGTAAGCCATCTGCGGTTCTGCTACCAGGAGCAGGACAAAAGAGGGGGTGCGTGGGTCGCAATACCTCTTGCGGGCCGAAGTGACGTCTCTGGCAATATGGAAGAGGATTGATCGTGAGATCTATGTACAAAACGAGGATGATGTTGTGAGGAAGCAATTGAGGGGTCGTGAGGGGGCTCATTATATATCCTCCGCTCGTCCCCACCACGCCTGTCGTTGGCTTTGCTCTTTGGGTCGTGGGCCCCGGGTGCGAACTTTGCTGGCCCTCTTCCCCCACTTGGTTCGATGCGACACGGTGCGCGCAAAGACAGGCTGGGCCAGGAGCGGCGCTTGCGGGTACGACGGTCGTGTTTGGGAATTACTTCGCATTGCACCTGGTGCGGGGTCGCATCCAATGGCGCGAACCAGGTCGAAGATGCGCCAGGGCCGGGCACTAGCAGTTGATTCCCTATTCTGGAATCGTGAAGCCTCGCGCGAGAGACGGGTAACGTACATGGTAGTCAATGGGACCAAGTGGGCCAATACAATGGCTCCGTTGCCGGAGCAGCTGCCCGACCGCGATGGCTCGCATGTGCAGCTGTGTAAATCGAGCCTCGTCTTGGGCGCGAGCCATCCTACACGCGCGTACGCTAGTGCTCCGTCTCATCAGCCTCCAAGGCCTTGATCGAGGGGCTGCGGGGCTATCCATGTAGCATGCAGTTACCCCTCCAATGCAAGTAAGCTGTGTGTGTTGCTGCATACACAGTAGTCTGGTCCCCTGGCCATTGAGCTGGGAGCGTACTGGTGTCTACGTGTATACAAGAGAATCAATTGTGTTCAGTATATCAGCGCCACCCTGACTGGCGCCACGAGGGACTATCCTGAGCTCCGTGGACACGACATGTAGCGGGGTGTCAGTATGGAATAGACGCAGTGCTGGCACACCCAACTCCATATCGAGTCTCATGTCGCGGCCAAGCCGATCCAGACGACCGAAACCCCAAATGCCGTCCCGCGGCAGACGCAAATGGGGCTGCCCCTCGCGGTCGAGTCTCGCCTTTCTGCGGCTGCGAGTTGTCGCCGCCAAAAGCCGAACGAAACTCGCGCCAAAGTAGGACGACGGTCGGTGTTTACCTCGTTGCCTCCGAGTTTCGGTGCTCAGGGCCCGGAGATGCTTCTTATCTTTCGGCCGAAACGCGGCGCCGACACCACTCTGCCTGCCCCTCCATTGTTCTAGCGAGCGGCAATTCATGGTAAACCCACATCGCCAGCTGACACTATGCATTGCTTCTCCCAATCTAGTAGACTGATCCCGCGGTTTGCTAGTCCTCAGCTTACAGGACCATTAGAAAGTTCACATGTCCCGGTCTTGCGCTGCAATGGAAACTCTTGCCTCTCCCACACCTCATCCTTCGGTCGTATCTTCGTTTGTGTGGCGTTTCATGCCTTCCTCAACTCGAATGGCACTCGCAAAGTGGCAAATCGCTTCACAATATCCACTGTGGACACATGGTTCTAGCACTATGTCCTGCCAGCCATTCACGACCTGCACCAATCTCCATGAAGAACTCATCGCTAAACGTCCTTAGCACCCTCCATGGCTGCTGATTTTTCAAGAATGACTGACCCCTTTCATGCGCCTGAACGGCGCAAAATCGACTACATGGCCTCGACTCTGCACTCTAGGTCACCCGTTATCCGGCGACCCCCAACCCGAAATACTATCATCTATATATAATGCAACAAACTGAGGGGAATTCCTAACCGATTCTTGCACAATTATAAAAGAGCCCGGTATAATGATTAGAACAAACACCACATATTAGTATATATCGATTATCCAAGAAGGGCGGACTTTGAGGTAAAGTGCAACGACGATTGAAGTGGTAGTCATGGTTACAGTGGTTTATGATCATTCACAATGTCCAAAAGTCGTCACAGATATGAAAGCCTCTGCTGTGGCTTCTCCTGGAACTTGGTTTTATCCCGGACAACCACAACCCATTAGTTACGAGCACCACAGCAAGCACCATGACTGTTACCCTGCGAAAGCGTAAGAACGACGGTGAGGGTCTGGCCCGGAAACGGGTCGAAGTGACGATTCCTGATTCAACAGAATCTACAGATTCTGATGGTTCATCGAAACCTACAAATCCTGAGAATCCAGCAGAACGTGTAATCCCGGAGAGTTCAGACGATGCTACAGTTCCTGATATTCCGGTAGAAGTTACGGTTCCCGACGGTCTGGCAGAAGCTACGGCTCCTGGCGGTCCTGCAGAATCTATAGCTCCTGATGATGGAGAAGGATCTACGGTTCCGAATACTCCGGTACAATCTACTGCCAGACCTGCAGTAGAGAGACGCCCAGAAGTGATTACCACTCTAGGAGATGTCATTCTTGAGATTGCTGATAAAACATCTGAACAGGGAAAGCGCAAGCTTTTGGTCTCGTCTGCGGTCCTTAGCAATGCCTCGCCTGTATTTTCCAAGATGTTCAGCGGTGGCTCATATGCAGGTCACGCTTTGTCGACGACTTCACCGCAGACGGTGCCACTCCCCGATGATGATCCGAATTCGATTTTTCTGATATGCCTGATCACTCATCTCAAAATATTCAAGCTGCCAGAAATGCTGAATATGACCGATTTCACCAATTTCGCACATGTCTGCCACAAGTACTCGTGCGTGAAGGCTGTCCATACGCATTCTATAGTCTGGTGTTCCTTCCTTATGCAGTACCCAGAGGATGCGGGTTTCGAGAAGTTGATCCTTGCTACACACTTCCTCGATCTGCACATATCGTTCAACAGAGTCACACAGAGCATAATTCGAGACCGGTCAGCTATCATCAACATCGCCACTGCTATGGAAGGTCATGAAAAACTGCCAGTGGATCTATTCAAGAAAGTAAAAGCTGCCCAGATGCTGTCTCAGAGGCAAGTGGAGCAAGCTCTCGGTGCTCTTGTCAATGAAAAGGACGCATGCGACGGATTCAAGTTGCGTGTTGGCACTATATTCCATGCCCTCGTATCCGGAGGAATGTGGCCTCTCGGGAACCAATCAATCAAGCAAGTCAGGGATCGACTGAATCAGGTTGGTACTCCTACTACCGGGACGCTGAAGAAATTGTGCGAAAATCCCAATTGCCCTTGTAAGTCGGCTAGCTCTCTGAATCACAAAGTCATTCGTAAGCTCAACCAGATGTATGCCGATGTCAAGGGCATGTGTCTTGATTGTGCGCAACGGGATGGCTTGACAACACACCAATGCGAGTTTTCTTTCATTCGTCGCCTTGGGGATTGTCGCATTCAGGATTGCCCAGGTACCTGAGTAGAACGCTATCGAATAGCGTCACGTGTTACCGGACTATTGGGCTGTTGCAGTTGCTGCTCTTCCATTATCCTGTTGGAAACTGCGGGCTACTATTTAAAGTTTGTGGGAAAGTGGTGGTATCAAGATTCTATCCATGGAGTCTGGCAGTACATGGCTTCGTTTTCTTAGGTATTAGGTGTTATCTAAGTACAGAACCGGGTTTCTCAATCTGCTTCAAGTAGTGTATAGTTTAGGTGTATCAATATTTTCCGAATTTACTTAACAAGGTAATTTCCTAAATTGGCTTTCTTTGGTATCTAGATTACACATATATACTTTTGAACATCTGAAAAACTTCCTCTCTCCCATTCCCCGCCATCAATATCTTTTCCACGTGCAAAGTTACACCATCAAGTTTAGAGAATGGTCGCAAGACACTCGCCCGCATCTCCATATCGCGCCCGCTAACCGCATGCGGAAAGCCATCAACCCAATGTACAACCACGACCCTCAAATTCAGCACGGCCGTCTTCAGAATCTCACACAATCTTCAGAATCTCACACAGTCTTCTCAAACTCCTGCAAAGCATGTCTGTATAAGTCTTCAAATCAATCTCATCATACACACACAGTCTCCATGCGAGCACGTGGCCGCCTCTGCCTCTAGCAACTAAATCTCGCTACAACGCACAACCGTACCTTCCTCATCATACACACATAGACTGATGTCTCGATATATTCATACGCAGGATGTTTCAACATAGAGACGTAATAATTATACATCTAGGAGCCATCACTCGGCGTCAAGCGATGCACCTCGAATACCGTCGTTGAAAAAGAACTGCTCGCGCACTTCGTGGTATACTTTTCTTAACAAACCAAGAGTAAGTTTATCGATGGATAACCGTGATGTATGGTTATTATAGCGTCGTTGCGGAATACGCAGGAATCAAGTATCTTGTCTCTGCGTAATTCTGAGGACGAGGGATAGTAACATCTTCAGCCCTTTTCACCTTCATCAGCTCCATTCACCTCTCGTGGAAAAAAAGCACATTCCCTCCCAGGCAAAACACAAAGTGCACAAAAGACCCTTATTTCGTGTCCCCCGGCACCGCTTGCATAGTAGTCGTATATCCATACTCATCCAGCTTCCGTCTGAAAGACGCCCAAAAAAAAAGAGCTGACGTGTCGATGTCTTGTTGAGAGCGCCTTTTGGACCAGAAAAGCAAGATAGAGAAGGTATTATTGGCTGGCAAAAACGTTTCATGTACATGTAAGCATAGCTCTTGTGGCGGCGGCGGTGGCGGCGGTGGCGGGCGACAGCATATCGCCGTAACAGATACTTTGTGATGGATACACGGCGGAGCATGGGTATGGGCGCCACAGTCTCCTCGGGAAAAAGTTTGGTGCGAATAAGAGTGTATTTTTATCGTTTCTGGGTTTCTCTAACAGTAAAATTGAGGTGGCCCCCGTTGCTATAAGAGTATGTGGATAAGGGAAGGATGGCACTGGAGTTGTGATTTTTCCCTGTGTAAAATTGATAGGTGAAGAGAATGATGGCGGCGGGGATGGTGCGATAGAGGAAGTCTGCAAGGGTTTCTGAAGTACTGGGTTAAACGGTCCATGGTGCTCTAGACTCCCTTCAGATAAAGATGTGTACTACATACGGTGTTCGGAAGCGCTTGTCTGGTTTCGGTAGGTCGGGCTGGCGGGTACACGGCGGGAGATCAACGGGAGTTAGTAGTTTGGTTTTGTGGAGAATGGGTTTGATAGTACATGTCGTGGTGCGTACATGAGACGGCACATGGTTGGAATAGATAGATAGATAGCAAAGATATGAGTAGTAGTAGGGATTTTTGTAGATGTCGAAAGATGGCTGGTTGCCTAACAGTCTTGATGTACACCTTCATATCTACACTCTCTTACCTCACTACGTAGTAACAATGTAAACCCCCCACTTTCTTCGAGTAAAAACTCAACATCACCGTACGACTTTCACCTCAACGTCTCAAGTTTCAGAGCACAACATGTACAATCAACAACGTTCCTCGTTCCCCAATGCGGCTGACACGACGTAACCACCCCAAGCCACCCATCCCCACAATTTTCCCAACTTTACTCCTTGGCCCCCCGGTGTCAATGTCCGAACACTCAGCTTCTCCCGCCCCTCTTCGCACTCTCCCCGCTGACAGATCACTTACACATCTCCCTCCCCCCCAAAACCCGGCTACAACAAACAGGATAAAATAAAATCCAAACGAGCGAGCTCTTTTCTTCCTCCTCCCAAGCCACTCGGCTCCTTTCCCCCACCAACCTCTCTTTCTCTTCCTTGTTAATATCTGCCGCATTAACTACTGATTCGCCATGTTTCCCCCTCTACCCACTCGTGGCGCTACCTCGTAAAGTAAACAACTTGCAACTTTGCATCACGCGCTCCTCGGCTTTTACGCCTGAAAGCCCAATTTCTAATCGCTTTCTCTTTTTCTTGCTTGTTGCTACTACTCGCGGAACAATCCGCGCAAGAAAAAGAAAAACGGGGCTGGATATTAAAAAGTGAGGTCACACACACACACATACACCCTTCATTGTTTTGTTGGTGTAAGCGACTTGAGTACGTTGGGGTGTGGTAATAGTGAAAAGGCGGGGGAGTGAGAGCTAGGATACTACGTACGCAGCTGCAAGCGGAAAGTGGGCTTTTCCCGCCCGTCACGAGGAGGGGACCCGAAATTGCGTTTCTTTGGGGGTAACCTAATTTATCGTGCAGGCAACCGTCGTTCTTGTTTCGGTAATATCAAAGGTGCAAAGCAAAAGGTGGAGAACGTTTTTCGCTTTCACTAGGAATCTCCCTTTTTCTGATTTGCAAGCTTGTGTTAAGTGAAGGGGTGTGTTGGTTTGTTTGCGCCTTGGAAAGGGGGGAAAGGGGCCCAAGCGGCGGAAATATCTTTCTAACATCCTTGTTTTCCCGCGCGTGGTAAACGGGGGTTGGGGTTTGGGGTGAGTGAAATACATAAACCTGTGTGACGGTCGATCGGGTTATAAAGAAGCCTCGGTCCGTTTACAAGACTAACAGACGTACGTAGTGTTTTGACATTGGGACTACTTACCCTCTTTCTTAAACAACAAAACTCGTCACCTGACTTTCGGTATACAAAAACCGACAAGCATTCTTTTGTTCAAAAGATGTTGGCCACGCTGTTCCTTGCCGTCGCCGCCGCCATAGCGACACCCGCATTGGCAGGCATCCAGCAATCCGACTTCAGCGGCATCGGCCACATCTACGTGCTCAAATCAGACAACTGGCAGACGGCAACACCAAAGGCCACCGTCGGCTGCCTCGACACCAATGGCAAGTTCATCTCAGACAAGAGCCCCTTCAACAAATGCGGCGTTTTCTCCCGCCTCGAAGATTTCCCCTACACGCTCAGCACAACCAAGGGAAACTGCACCTTTGAAGACGACAAGCAAGAAAAGAACACGGATAGTTACTACGGAAAGATGGATTCGGCGTGGAGTTGCGGTGAGCGCGTCGCAGACATTTACGATCAACTATACACAATCGTACGTCTTCTCCCCCCCCCTCTTAACCACCCACCTCCCCTCGTTTCCACAGGCTAATTCGAAAAAAAAGGATGGCTTCCCATACGTCTTCCTCTGCTTCGGTGACGTAGCTTGCTTCTACGACGCCAAACACACGCCTAACCCGCATGACGTACTCCCACTATGGCAGTATCGCTGGGGCTCCCAGCAAATGGGTATCACGCCCGGTCACGTGCAGTTGCAGCTACTGTGGAAGAAGATTGGTGAGTTGCCGGGACGATCCGAGGCAAGCGAGTTTCGGGGCCCGAGGGTTCGGGTTGAGGAGGGGGTGCAGATGCCGTTGATGGGGAAGAAGGCAAGGGTTTGAGTGGTTGTGGGGTTGGAGGATTGAGACTATATAGTTTGGGATGGGTTTTTTTTTCAAAGGGTATACTAACTATGGGATTTTGGTGTTTTCGGTTCAGGTTTTGTGTATATGATGGCTTGGGATGGGCATATATGACTTTCGGATGATTTATGATTTGGTTAGAAATGATTAAGATTTGAGGATTTCTACGTACTGCCCGTGTATGAAACGTCCCGTTCAATCACTGTTCTCCATACCCTTCTCCCTCATCCCTTCTCCCCTCTCATCTTCTAACCACATACCCATATATCACGCCATCCAACCCACTTTCCACATATACATACACGGTGTTCCGTAGGTTATTGGGGTTGTATGTATCGGTCTTGCCAAGTAAGGGAAATATATAGAAGAAGACGGAAAGGAAGAGTAGAAGGCAACCGAGGTGCATTTCGATTCTTGATGTGGAAGACGAATAAGAGGTAGAAGAAAGGAGGGATGGGAGAGTAAGGGTGTGTAGGTGGAATGGGGGATGATGGATGAGGGACACGGTGTGTGTTGCTTGTATTGGGGTTGGATAGCAGGAGTGTTGTGTGCTGATGCACTGGATTGAAGTCGGGCGAGATGGCTGGGGTTGGTGGCGTGCTGTGTTGTGGTAGGACGTAAAAAAGGGTAAACGGGTGCGGTTTGCTGGGATACTGGAGGATGGGCTGGCGGAGTGGTGGATTAGTAGGATGGGATGCGGGTGAGAATGGGGGATGGTTCTGAGGTGCTTGTACTGTTTTGTTGATGTATGAGTCCATGTTTTCAAAGCTGCTGTGTATATAGATCAGGCAGCATAGCAACGAACTACTAATTTTTGCACCATTAGAGAAGCGAATAGCATATCAAGTTTTCTCACTGCATCACCACAGCCGCTTGAAATAACTTCAATCTTCAATTTGACTTTTTGCACATATCAGGATATCGTTAGTCCCACATACGCCCCTTGTCGCATCTTCAGAGACTCCTATCAGGACAAAAATAACCCGAAAAAAACCCAGTTCTCTCCACACGCCTCGCTAAATCATGACTGACTACACACTCTCGTAGTAAGAGCGCCAGAAAACCCTCGAAATCAGCAATCGATCAAAAAGAAAGTTTCCGCCACGCCCGTTATATATGAAACTGCCGCAATGCTGACAATTGCGCCAAAGGAGAAAAAAAGAGATCCAGATCCGAAACCAGCAAAGAGTAATAAGAAAATAAGGGAGATGACACCTTCAAACCATGCAGTGTATTGTTGATTGAGTAAAAAAAGGGAAGAAGGACATGTCTAATCCGAACGCGCGCGCCTTGTAACAAGGGGGTATCAGAGTGGTTGAGTGTGGTATGTATGTGCTGTCAAGTTCGCATAAAACGACAGAAAAAAAAGAGGACGAGGAAACTCGTCTTTTTTGTCCGAAAAGCCTAGAGAAGAGGCCAGATCCCGCTTGAAGCAATAGTTGGGCGATTGGAAGCAGAATGCCGACCAGGATTAAGGAAAATTTGGTAGTGGGATGTATGTTGGGGGGTACCCAAGGAAGAACACAGTGAGTGAACCGGTCGTTACACGTCGTAAGGGGAAAACTGACGCTGGAATGATGGGAGGACGCAGATGCAAAGTGTAAGTAAAGATGATGTGTTGACGAGTTCCCGTATGAATTTTGGATATTCGTTGCTCGTCCTCGTAAAGTGAGCGGCTCTGGAGATTGCTCCGGCAATAAATCGTTCGTAATACTCTTTAATCAATACAGCGGCCACCATCTCACTCTGGTCTATCAAGATTGACCCTGAGACTGTACTCGAGCTTTTCCTTCTCGCAAAACTCGTGCAGGAACTTCAGACCAAACCGGACGGCTTGGATGGGCGTTGTATCTATTCCGAGCGGAAGGAAATATGGACCAGACATCTTGGCGCCGCTCACCTTTTCTGGTTCACGTGCTAGTTTAGCGTTGACTTCTCGACCCGCATATGTCTTCTTGTAGATGTTTTGCAAGTCCTCAAAAGGCAGAGCGATTCTTGCTTCTTGGTAGTGGCGATTCATCTTCAATGTGTGATCGGAGAGAAGGGCAAAGTTTTCAATGTGCTGTCGAGCGGATTCTGGGTGGTTGATATCCTGGGGTGAGTCGTGGGATTTGGAGCTGCTGAAGCGTTGTGACACATGAGTGCAGATTGCAGAGGCAATGACAGAGCTAAGGTAAGAGCGGAGACCGTCGAGATGTTGAAAGTCTCTTGTGCACCTGGAATACGACAGACAAAGCGGTAGCAGGGTCTTCCATGTCTGCTCAACCTCACCGGCGCGACCGCGGAGGTTTAGTGACAGATCTTGGGCAGAATATGCGGCCATGTATGCCCTAATTGGTCAGTCAGTCTAGCCAAGATTGGTAAGAGAGATGAACTTACAAAATACACTCCAGATTGGTAACGGCAGCTCGCTTTTCGTCCTTTTTGCTGCTGGCGGCGTTTAATATTTTGGTTGCCTCGTGTTTTAGAGCGCGACCTGTCTGGTTCAGCCTAGCCGATGTCTGTCCAAGCAAGGAAATGTCGATTTGCTTCTTGTTGTTCAGGGGTGCGGATGTGGATCCGGCCTTGAACTCCGCTTTGGAGCCGGCGGGAGTCGCACCGGAACGACCCGGAGTTGCTTCGTTGCTTTCGGAAGATTGAGTGCGTAGCATATTTATGGATCTGGTGTCCTTCTTGGGTATCGGATGGAGTGAATTGCTCTTCTGAGCAGAGGGTTTTGCTGAGGCGGCTGGAGATGCCGTGGTCGGTGCAGAAGCAACAGGAGGCTCATTCGTCGAGCTTGCCCGTGGGCGCTTAGCGGGAGGTACCGCCAAGGAGCCATCTTCCTCAGTTCGCAGTCGTTTCTCCACGACCTTGGCACTTGCCGGGGTTGGCTTCGCACTGGTGGTCGGAGTAGAGGTGGATGCTGGTGTGGTGGGCTCTGCCCGCCGAGCAGTGATCTTTGGTGCTGGCTTCTTCTTGATGACGGGCGGATCAGTGACCTTGGGCTGGCTGTCTGTCGCTGTGGCTTTTGGCGTATCGGTACGTTCTTTCTTCTCGGCACTTGAGCGCTTTGGAGGCAGGCGTAAAATTTGGCTCACAACCTGTGCCTTTGGCTTTGAGAATTTCAGTTTCACAATCATATTGGCATGTGTTTGTTGTGAGGGACTGACTGGTTCGGGGTTTGGCGATTTGCCGTTTACAGATACTGAACGTCCGCGATTCTCAGTCTTGAGAGATGCGCTGGACTTTTGTGATGAATCGGCCGGCACAGTAATAGGCACGCTCTTGATATCCGACGACGATATAGATGCGTCCGAGTCTGCGCGCTTCCGTTGCACCTCTAGCCTGTCCAATTCGGCTTGCACGTTGGAGGGTAGTGTGGGGGAAAGAATAGTAGGGAGCCCGTATGGATTGCCAAGTGGTTCTCGAACAGGTGATAGGAGCGGGGGCAAGCCGTGCGGTGTGGAATTTGAAGGGTCAGACTTTTCCACGTGGCTTTTGTAGCCTGCAGTGTCGCTCTTCTGCGAAGTGGAAGGAGCCCGGGGGCGGGAGCTGACTCGAGGGGCCTCGCGCGTCGCTTTGCGATCGTCGCGCATAGTGTTGGAGGAGCTGTTGTATGTTAGCAGAGCAATTGCGTCTGGAGCGGTGTACCCACGATCTCGGCGATCTGGGCTCGGCCTTTTGGGCGGGTGCAGAGAGCTTTTCGGACTTGGTAATGCCGTTGACCTGATCTGACGTAT